TTGAGAAACATGTGTTTTTCGTTTAACCTGAACTCAATATAGAAGATAACCCAACACAACTTTGGCATGTTAGATTAGGACATATTTCTTCAAGAAGAAAGAATGAGTTTGCATGTGAGGGATTGTTCTTGAACTCACTGCGAGCTTGTGCATCTTGTTTGAAAAGAAAATGTCCAAATTACCATTTAAGGGACAAACGGAGCATGATGAAGGTCTCTTGGATTTGATCCATGCAGACGTGTGTGGTCGTTAGTGCGAGGGGTGGTTTTAACTACTTCGTAACATTTACCGACGATTACTCAAGGTATGGTTACGTATACTTGATGAAGTACAAATTTGAAATTTATGAAATGTTCAAAGAATTCATAAACGAAGTAGAAAAACAACTCATACGAAGTATTAGGAAACTACGATCTGATCGTAGTGGAAAATACTTAAATGATGAGTTTATGGACTATCTGAAAGAGAACGCGATTCACTAGGTTACCGCCGTACATATAGGGTCATGCACTCCATACCGCCGCGTATTTTGTGAATAGGGTTAACACCAAAGAATTTAGTTCCACACCATATGAACTTTGGCATTCATGATAATCCACTTACATGAAGTGGCTAGTGGGAGACGCGTTGAATAGTCGATCCAACTTATGCCATTTCGTGGGGTATCTTAAAAATTGTTTTAGATACTTATTCTACTATCCCTTGAAACAAAAGTGTTTGTCTTGGGAATGACACCTACTTAAAGAACAAGTTTCCATGCGATAGAATAGGTGTATGATAAAACTCAAAGAAATTCGAGAACCACGAATTGAAGTTCCAACACCATAAATAGAACAAGAGCCAATAAAAATCAAATCACCCATTAATGTACCTTCTCAACCATTTATGTGGAGATTCGAAAGGATCCGTAAAGAACTTAATAGGCTAACCCTCATCGAAGGCAGACAAAATGAATTTGACAAGGGATGTGATCCAAGAACCATCAATGAGGTTGTATTTGATGGAGTAAGGGATATTGGCTTAACGCCATGAAATCCGAAATGGATTCCATAAACTCCAATAAGGTATGGACCTTGATGGATCCACCCAAGGAAATCTTTCCCGTTGGATGCAACTGGATCTATGATCTTTAAGTTGGAATAGATGGAAAGGTGTCGACCTATAAAGCTAGATACGTGGAAATGAGTTATACTCTAAGACAAGTTGTTGTCTGTGAGATAACTTTTCACGAAACACTATGCTATAATTCCATTAGGATTTTGCTAGCCATTTCTGCGTAGTATGACTAAGAGATATGGAGAATGGATATAAAGATCACCTTCCTCAATGGCGAGATTGAGGAAATCACAGTCGTGCAGCCGAAAGGCTTCATATCTTCTGGAAATTAACAAAAGGTTTGCAAAATTCCAGCGATCCATTTATGGATTGAACCTAGCATCCAATAAATTAGAATGTTCGATTCGACACAAAAATCAAGAAATTAATTTGGCGCAAATTCGAAAGAGCCTTAAGTTTACAAGAAGGTTAGCGGGAGTGCCATTGCGTTTCCCAGTACTTTGTGTTGATAGCATCCTACACATTGGGAATGTTGTAGGGATGCTACAGTCAATTAAAGCACGATTGTCCACATATTTCTCAATGCATGAATTTGGGATAAGCTTCCTACGTATTAGAGGATATGTATTTATAGAGATAAATAGAAGAGGTCGCTTAGTTATGCCAATTCATATTATAGACATGATATATTGTATGCAGTGAAGCGTCACAGTAGATATCAGTCTAGCCCAAACCAAGTTAGTTGGATAGCTATGAAACAAATCCTTAAATACTTGCGAAATACGAAGAACTTGTTTATATATAGTCTATGGGGATTCCGAATTGAAAATAAAGTCGTTCGACAACTTTAGTGTTTCAATCGGAAGTGGACGCTCAAAAGGGACGTCGGGATTTATACTCATCCTTATTAACGAGGTGTCGTATGTGTTCCAAGTGAAACATGACGATGGATTCCACCTCTGAAGCTTAATATATTGCGGCATTAGATGACGCAAAGTAGCAGTTTGGATTCGATAATACATTCAAATGTTGAATGTATGATTTCAGTGAGTCTCATCAGAAATCCAAGCATATACTAAATCATAATCACCTCGGTAGACAACGTATTAGATCCCTGAACTTAGCCTTTACCCATCCCGGTCCATGAGAAACATCGAGAGTCGATGGGACTTAGGTAATGAGTAGTTGGCTTTAGGTTAAGTGGGAGATTGTTAGAGTAGGTGACCGAAGAGCCAACTAATTGTTGTGTTTTCTCACGCTACTCGTAAATAATCTATTTCATATTAATGATAAATACCCCCTTTGGCATTCTATATATTTGTCCCTTGCATAAGCATAGATTTAGTCCTTACAGTTACTTAATTACTATAAATAGATCTAGTAGAATCGTGAGATTATTTATTTAAGTATAGTAATTGTTAAACGTGGTTCCTAGTCAACGTGTTACGCCACTAATGAGGATATCGGCATTTCCCATTCGAGACTAGCACTTAGTGTATGTGTACCGCGTCTCATCAGTCAACGGTGTTGTGACATCGGCATACATAAATGGGTGCTCATAACTTGATGAGTTCACTGAACTCCCTCAATCTAGAGATCTCTAAGTCGTTCCCAATAATCGAGTGGAGGTTTCTATGATATAGTTGTACACCATTAATCCTTAAGACCCAGACAACACCGTGACTTTACTAGAGGACCAGCTGTATCATGACTTGTCCCTGAGTTCCACCGAGGACCGCCCCAAGGGCCAGTGTTCGTGCAATCCGAAATCTAGTGGGAGGTCTGTGCATTGTAATATGAGATTCGATCGCTTGATCAGTTATGGATATCATGTGTGTTCTTGCGATTTATAATCCTTGAAGTTTGTGGCCACAGCTGAAAGTGTCGTGATTAGAGAAAAGTGATTCTCCAAATCAAACACGAATGAATTATATAATCAAGAACGTCCACACAGTTATTGAGCTCATAAAGAGGTCTCGACGAACCAATGCCTCTAGTTCAATCAGGATATATGTATCGAAGGGATCGTACTGTACGTTAACTATATCACAAGGTTCTTGCATGCACTTCATTTGTATCTAGGGAATCATGACGCGTAGTTGCTAGACGTCAATCTTGATTCGTTGGGTAGTTAAGTTGAAACTAGCTTCAACTTAATTGTAACTCTAGGGACAAGTTTAAACCACAATGGGTTGTGGGCCACGGCTAGCTTACACCTGAACCATCGAGGGTCACACTGCTCGTGTACTTGAGATCCTTAATGCAACAAGCTAAGATTAAGTAGTTAATCTTAGTGTAATTGGAAGTCAATGTGATTGTGTCAAACATTCGTAATTGTTAATTACGGATGAGAATCAGTAGAGGAAAAGAATCCGACGGAAATTTAGTGACCTTTCTATTTTGGGAAGTTTCCCAATTTGGCAAGTCCTAAATTAGGGTTTCCAATTTCGGAAATTGGTAAAATGTAAAGTGGTACTCGTATCGACGAGAATTTGTGCTAGTCGTCAAAATATAATTGTTACATTTTTGCGAGCATTCGTTTGTTAGAAACGAACCGAGAAAAAGAGTGGACTTAAGCTGTTGGGCCTAGCCCATCCAACTTAAGGCATGTTAGGGTTTTCACAAGGAGCGTATAAATAGGATTTATATGTCTTGTGAAAGACACAAAAAAAAAACAACAATACATAAGAATGAAACCCTAGCATCTCTCTCTCGATCAGCCGTCCACCTTGCTGCCGGAACCCTACGTCCGCCACCAGCCGCCGCGCCGCCGCCAGTCGTCGCCGTATCGGCATCTTTATTTTTTCCCTTTGTTCTTCTTCGTTGTACTTAGCCTATCACGTATCTAGTGCTGTGTGGATAGTGGATTGAATATACGAGGTGAAACCTAAGAGGAGGAATATTATAATGCCGCCAACGCCGCCACCAGGGTCGTTCCGACGCTCCCTCACGCGCCTCCATAAGCCAGTGATGCGAGAAGGCAATTCTGAAAAACTTCTCTCGGATTTTCTGTGCAGTCCAGCGTGCAAATTCGCCATAAATCAACTGGTGATCGGATGGACGTGAAATTTTGAGAGAAGCATGGTTATACAATCTGTCAAAATAAATTGTGCATCTAGTCAATAACCATGGATCGGAGATATTGAAGTCGGAGCAGGGTTGTATTTTCAGATTAACAAACAGACTGGATCAGTAGGAGTGGGAAGAGCAGCTAGCCATGTTCTCGAGTCTTCGTTCGATTCACGCTTCAAGGGTAGCATATCGTTTTTCCTAATTAATATACATGTATTAATTAATTTATATTAATTGAGATTAATGTATGTTAATTGATTATTGAATCACATGAATCTATATGTTCGATTATGTGTTTATGTGAATCGTTCGTTGAGCATGTTTATTATTTGATTTCATTTTGCGAGCATGCTATGATGATTTAATTTATGTTACTTAAATTAATCATATATGCGAGCATGTTTGTCGGTGATTGGAAGCGAAAAGGTACGCAATTAATTGTAATTATTGTGCACGTGTTTGTTTATATAAACTAGTTTATATAAATACAATAAAAATTTTGTTTTCCGCTGCGTACAAGTGCCCAATCCCCAACAGTTCCCACATGTCATTTCGAGAAAACTGCTCAAGTTCCTCAAGCATGGCTAACATCCAAAATTCATCAAGAATTGGTTCTTTGATGTTTTTTGGTTCAATAGTGAAAGTCAAATAGACACACATGACCATTTATTGATGATCAACCTTGGGCTTATTGCAAGTTTTCATACCTTGTTTACCAATGGTAACATCTTCAGTCGTGACATCAGATGTCGGCACTGATACTTCTGTGATTTTGTCTTCTGGTATTTCTCTTCCAATGCTCTCAGTTTGTTTCCCCATTAGAAAGTCGCCATAAATCTGGTGTATTGGAGTTTAGTTGGGGAACATCTTTCTCACAACCTGCATTGATATTTCGTGTTAGATCCTGAAAATTCAAATTTCCTAGTTGATGACAACACAGAGATGTGATATCAGAGGTGGTGAGGGGACACTGTTCAACTTGGCCAGTTTGGTCAATTTTATAACAATTATCAGAGGATCTATAACCAGATAGAACACACCTGTTGTTTTGATCAAACACTTCACACTTACGCTTGGTGAACAACACTGAGTCGTATAGATCACATAGCTGACTTACGCTGAGTAGGTTTGATTTCAAACCCTCTACATACAGAACATTGTCAAGGTTGGGTAATCCTCCAACATCCAAGTTAACTTCTCCTTTCACAAAGGCCTTGTTTCCATCACCAAGAGTAACTTGTCCACCATACACATTATGCAGATTCTTTAAGTAATTAGGTACACCTGTCATATGCTTGGAGCAACCACTATCAAAATACCAAGAGTTAGTAGGACATGCTTTTAAAGAAAGAATAGCAGGAAAGCAGTTTGCGTTATACTTAGTCATCCATTTATTATCAGAGTATCTTCTTTGGGAATTGTGATCCCATGCAGCGGAATTGGATGATTGATATGCTAAACTCTTATTTATCAATTTCCATCTTTTAAAGCATTGTGGCCTAACATGTCCTACTTTGTGATAGAAATGACAAGTTGGCACAAACTTTTTTGTATAAGATTGTGAGGCAACATGTTGTGGAGTAGGTTTGACAATATTATTCACAAAATTAATTTTTCGATTCGGATTTGGTTTACCATCGAACTTACTCCCAGTATAGCCAAGACCAAGTTTATCAGGATTTGAGGGATGAGCATTTAAAATTTCATCTAACCTGCTCGAAGGAAGAATCATAGTACGATTTAACTTACTGACTGATGCCTCTAACGTTGTTGCAACAGGAGAGTTGTCACACTTCAGGTTGAGGCAGGGTTCAGCATTTTTCATTGGAGCAGGATTTTTCTTGATCGGCTTTGTCTTATTGCAATCGTTGTTTCGCAAATGTCTTAGTAATTCTTTTATATTGTCAATATCTTTCAAGGCAAAATCCTGTTTTACCTCCAGTACCTCATTTTCCAATTCTAGCTCATCGATTATGGCCTTCAGATTGACTTTAACTGCTTCATTCTCCTCTTCCAGTTCCTTTACTTTCTCCTTCAAACACCTATTTTCATCACCAACCTCATGACACTGCTTTAGAATATCGTTCAGTTGCTGTTGAATCTTCTCAATGGAGCATTCTTCATCATCCTCTGAATCTTCATCACCTGTGGACGAAAAAATTGTGTTTAGATTACTATGATTTTCGAGATTACGAGTAGTATACCTGAGGTGTGGTGTCATGGGAACTAAGGGCAAAGATGGAGTGGTCACAACAACTGTTTGTAAATCAATCATTCTTTCTTTATCCATTATACTGATGTTCATCTTGTTCTCAAATGTCTGCAAATTTGCGATCAGATCTTCAAGTCTCAATGTGTCCACATCACTTGCTTCCTCAATAGCTATGACATTGTATGTGAATCGGTCTGGCATTGATCTCAATACTTTACGGACAAGCTTGACTTCAGGATAAGTTTCACCAAGACCATGAGCTTCATTCGAGACATCGCATAGTTTCGAATTAAAGTCGCATGCGGTTTCACTCTCATCCATTCGAAGATCCTCAAAGCGAGTAGCGAGCATCTGAAGTTTTGATAATCGAACAGAGGTTGTTCCCTCATAAGCTGTTTGTAGTTTTTCCCATGCTTCTTTGGCACACTCACATGCTGAGATGATTTTGAATTGATTGATGTCAATTCCATTGAATATGGCATTCAATGCTTTGGAATTCATATTTGCGGCAATCTGCTCAGTTTTGCTCCAGTCTTTTTCATGTTTCTCAGTTTGAATTCCTTTTTCATCCGTGGAAACAGGTCGTTTCCAGCCAGTCAGAACTATGTGCCAGACGTCTTCATCCATTGACTTGATGAACATATTCATCTTGGTCTTCCAATATGAGTAATTTGTTCCCGTAAGCAGTGGTGGGCAAGTAGTGGAACCTCCTTCCATACAAGCACTCATCGCTTCTGTAGAGTAAAAGACAAATAAATCAAATTCTCAAAATCACACACTATATTTATCTAGTGAGAGGCTCTTGATAACAATTGTAGATTTATATGCCTATAGAAATCTATTAACCTAAGTTGTAACAGTTACGTTGTGGAAACAGTATTCAGTTACAACTACAATTGTTGTGATGACACAGTTATAAACTTCTAGAAGTAATTAAATTAACACAAGAATTTAGTGTGGTTCAGACGCAACTGTGCCCTACATCCACGTGGACCTGCAAACACGATTTCACTAGTTCAGATTTACAGTGTACATTAATAGGACTCATTAAAAATAATAAAGACCCCCTCTTTAATTTTTACGTCGTTCTTGTACACAACTCGAACTCCGTGTTTCTCTACAGCAGCTCCACTCCGCGTGCCTTGAACTTTCTTCAAGCCTGAACTCCCTTCAGAAACGCGGCTGATCTCCCTTGAGATCTATACAGCAGATTTGTATATGTTGGCACAACCAGTGATGGCACAGTCCTGCTCCGCAAAACGCCTTCGCAAACCTTCGATGCTATGAAGTGGTTTTTCTTCTAATAAATGCGCATGGTTCTTGTATGTCTTGGATGCTTATATAGCCATGAAAATAAGCTTTAAGACCTAACTTGAATCCCAAGAAATTTATTTAACTAGGTAATAGAATCCTATTTGATTTCTACTTCTATTCTAGATAAATACAAAAGATACCTAACTAGAATAAAATACATGAAAATAAATCTAAGTCCTAATAGAAGTATTATAAAATAGGACTCTAATACATTCCAAGATAAACATGGAAAACAAATATTTGCCAATCTTTAATTCCAAAACTCGGCAGATTTCCTCGATCTTCAATAGTCGGAAATCTGGCGCCAACATACTGTAATGAATGGGTTTTCTCAAAGATATATGTTTTAATAATGATATCATAACTATATTGTATTAAAAAGTAAGAGTTTAAAAAGTAAAGGGTAAATTACACCCACACCCCTCAGGTATGATGAAATAACTTTAAGGTCCATGTGGTATCGGCACTCACCCCCTGAAACATAGTTAGCAACTCTAATGAGATACTGTATTTGATACATTATTCCGATAGAGTTCTAACGGACTGTTAGTTTCAGGAAGTGGTAGAGACAACATAGCGCTATGGGTGATTTAAGAAATGTTGGGGGAGCCGTGTCACCCCCTAGCTCTATGTTGTATCCACCACATATACTAAAAGTAATAGTCCGTTAAAACTCTATTGGAACAACATATCTAATGCATTATCCCATTAGAGTTTCTAACTATGTTTCAGGAGGTGAGTGTAATTACCGATACCGTAAGGACCTTAAAGTTATTTCAGCATAACTCAGAGGTGTGTATGTAATTTATCCAAAAGTAAAAATACGGAGGCGCCGCCCGAGAACTCCTTAAAAAATAAAACCCCGATAAAAACTATTTAAATCCCCCTTGCATACGAAGGTGTGCTGAGAGAATAGGCGTTTTAATCTTCGTTTCGTCTGTAATTGCCATTAAATAAGATCAATATGAAGAAAAAAAAAAAAAAAAACAGAAAAAAAAAACTGATCACCTGATAATGTTGCATTATAAATGAAAAAAAGTAATAATAAACAGAAGCGCGTGAGGCATCTGCGCGTCAACAATGTATGATTTCTTACAAGGTCATTTTTTTATTTATTACTTTATTTTGTTTTTACTATTTAAAATGTCAATTTTGGCATGCAAAGATGGCTGACACGTTTGTTTCCAGTAAAGATTGTCAATTAAAACCAACGTACATTATATTTGATCATCTGCATATTGGTAATTAAACATATATTCAATTATTTTCATTAATATTCAATTATTGCAACCCATGTAATTGAAACTAGTTACACACACCAACAGAGACTACAAAACGACGATGTAGATATTCTATTTCCTTTACATTATTATAATCAAATCAAATCAAAATAGATCCTAAACAAAACAATTCCAATTAATTTCCGTCTCTTTCAAGTTACATGATAAATGCCAGATGAACAAAAAAGTGCATAAAACACGAGAGTTTGAAACTCCAATAGCAGCCGAATTACAATTGAAGCTATGCACTTGTAATATTTGAAATGAGTGCTTGTGGGATTCGAACTCAAAACCTTTTTATTGGGCCTACACTTATACCAGGTTGAATGTCGACCTCAACCAAAAAGTTCAAGAAATTAGTGAAATGTATTATTTAATATTAAGATCTCGAATTTTTTTTTTATTTTTTTTATTATATTCATCCTAGTTATACCTGGTTTGATTGCCAATATATGATTGATCAAAGATAATATTAATAAAATCTAATGAAAACTAATCGTTTTATTAGACCCCAAAGGTCCAACAAAACAATCACTACAAATGCCATGATAAGGCATAATAATAACAAAATTTTTTTCCGTCCGACCCGAGAAGTTATTGTATTCACCAAATATCAAAATTAAGTCTAATTATTTAGTTAATTATGTCTAATCTTCCCAGCCAAACGACTCGCCATTAGAATATTATTGTACTTCATTTCTCCCTCAATAAATAACCTCATAAAAAAATGAGAGATTACAAATCATCCATAAGATGGCTCTCAAAAATGCAATGATATTATTATGCTCTATATTGCTCCCCATCTTCTTCAATGCTGAATTATCAGCTGATTCTAATAAACAGCCACTCCCACCATTCTCTTGTGACTCCACAAATCCATCCACAAAGTCGTACCCGTTCTGCAACGTTGATTTGCCGATCGAAAAACGGGCCCGCGACTTGGTATCTCGACTCTCATTGGACGAGAAAATATCACAGCTTGTGAACGAGGCGTCGGCCGTACCGAGACTAGGAATACCGTACTACCAGTGGTGGTCGGAAGCTCTGCATGGAGTCGGCGGCTCTACGCCAGCACAATCCGGTGTTTCGTTCAACGGGACTATCAACGCGGCAACTAGTTTCCCTCAAGTTATACTCACCGCAGCTACATTTGATGCAAACCTTTGGTATCGAATGGCCAAGGTTAGTCCCGAAAAGAACTAGGATCGTTTAAAATTCCAAATTTTGATTTTTTTTTTTTTTTGTTCAATATTTTGTATATTTTCATTATTAGAAAAATAACTTTTTACTATGAATTTTTTTGCTACGATAAAAATCTGTAACAAAAGGTAAAACGTTAGGATTTGCTACGGTCATTTACCGTACAAAGTTTTTGTCACGCCCGTATATGCTACGGGCCAAATTCGTAGCAATATATAGCAAAAGCCTCTTTATTACAAATTTGTACGTACCTTTTGGTAAGGTTAATGGCGTAATAACAATCTATTTTTGGGCTAGTGTTTTTAGTCATTTTGAATAACTGTCCTACTAACCTACATTATTAAATAGGCTTATTTTTTTAACGATAATTACTATTAAGATCACATGATGCATGAGCTGCTTGAATTTTAATTACTTTCAATAGATATTTTGTTTATAAATTTAAATTTTATTTTAATATGTAACGAAGCAGAAAGTTGATTGCATAATAAGTCAAAATATGCTGCATAATTTGTTAGTGTCTGACAAATTTGAGTATGAATTTAAAGGTGATGGGCACAGAAGCTAGAGCTCTATACAATGAAGGGCAGGTAACAGGCATGACATTTTTTTCGCCAAACATCAACATTTTTCGAGATCCGAGGTGGGGAAGGGGACAAGAGACACCTGGCGAAGACCCTTTTCTTACAAGCAAATATGCTGTCTCGTATGTTCGAGGAATCCAAGGCGACAGTTTCGAAGGCGGTGATCTCAAAGACGGCCGTTTACAAGCCTCTGCATGCTGCAAGCATCTCACCGCTTACGATTTAGAGAGTTGGAACGGAAATAGTCGTTTTACATTCAATGCTCGCGTACGGCCGGCCCTATTATCACTAACGTTCAATGAACCCTTGATTGTTTAATTAGTACGTGAATTTCTAAAGAAATATATGTGTTGTTTTCGTGTAGGTGACAAAGCAGGATATGGTAGATACATATCAGCTACCTTTCAAGAGTTGTGTACAAGAAGGGCAAGCGAGCGGGATATTGTGCGCTTATAATTTTGTAAATGGTGTTCCAAATTGTGTTGATTATGATCTATTAACGAAAACTGTTCGTGGCGAATGGGGATTCCAAGGGTAATTTAACTTTTTTTGAAACTTGAAAAAACAATTTGTTTCTTGTACATCTTAATCATGCGTCTATCTCACTGGAAATGAATAGGTATATAACATCGGATTTTCATGCGGTCGAGCATCTTTATGAGAAGCAAAATTACTCCAAAACAACTGAAGATGCTGTGGCGGACGTTCTCAAAGCAGGTAATTGAGTTACATTCTTTCAAGAGTTCTTTCTATTTAAAGATTAGTAATGAAAAAAAAAAAACAGGCATGGATGTCGAATGCGGCTCCTATTTGGCGAATCACACAAAATCAGCAGTCGAAAAGGGAAAAGTGTCTGAATCTGATGATATAGACAGAGCCCTTTATAATCTCTTCACTGTTAGAATGAGATTAGGACTTTTCAATGGAAATCCAAGTGAACTTCCTTACGGCAATCTTAGCCGCAACGACGTATGTAGTCGCGAGCATCAAGATTTGGCACTCGAAGTTGCACGTGACGGGATTGTCCTTTTAAAGAACTCTGCGAATCTTCTTCCACTATCCAAATCCGAAATAAAATCGCTTGCGGTAATAGGCCCAAATGCCAATGTCTCCGATACACTCTTAGGAAACTACGCAGGTCCCCCTTGCAAGACAGTTACTCCACTACAAGGACTAATGAATTATGTCAAGAATATTGAATACCGTGAGGGTTGTGAAACGATCAACTGCACATCGATTTCCTCAATAAAAGTTGTAAAAGAACTATCAAAATCAGCAGATTATGTGGTTCTGGTAATGGGACTTAATCAAGATCGAGAAGGCGAAGATTTGGATCGAGAAGACTTGGTAC